ATGGCAAGTCTAGGTTAATTCAACTTAGTTCAACTCTATCCCCCCCCCGCCACCGTCACCCACCAACACCCCCCGCCACCACCACCCACTCGCCACCACCCACCACCCACCACCGTCACCCACCCAACCACCAACCACCACCACCCACCTGCCACCACCCACCTGCCACTACCACCCACCACCCATCTGCCACCCACCACCACCCACCACCCATCTGCCACCACCACATTTAATTTAATGACAACATATTTATTTACCAATTGTTACGGGGAGAAACGTAAAACTACCTTCTAAATATGATTCACTCATACTTGGCAAATTAGATACAATGGTATGGTTATCATTAAATAATTTGCCAAATAAGATATATCCTCGTCTTCTACGATTATTTTATGTTCACTTGACATCGGGTGACCAACAAAATGAACCGTTCAGTCTTACCTCTTATGTTAAGGGGAAAAGAATCACACTCTCTCTCCGTCGTTTTGCACAGATTATTGGAGTCGAAACAGGAGATTTACAATGTTATTTTCAAAATGAGGCCCCATTAGAAAAAATTGTTGATGATGTCACTCAGATTTATACCACAATTTGTGACAACCGATTTAGTGGCACTAATTTACAAGTCAGCCATTTAAAACCTCACATTTGTATTCTCCATCGATGGATAGTTGAAAATATCACTCCCAAAAAAGGACATTATAATAGTGTTTCATGTTTTCAAGTTTACTTGTTATATTGTTTTGAAATTGGACAAAAATTAGATTTGTGCTTTATATTACTAAAAGAAATGATGCTTGCAAAATTGGATACTCTGAGTGGCCGGTCACTACCTTTTGGAGCTTTGTTAACCATAATTTTCAAAGCCTATGATGTGAACCTTGAAGGTGAATGATGGTTTAGAATCACTTCACCAATTTTTGAGTATAAACTTACCCGAGCTGGTGGTGCTGACACCTTGATGGGCTCTATTAATCTTGAAAATGAACCAATACCTGATGAGGAAGAACCCAATGACAATGCCATGCCACCAAATGAACAACTCCATTACTGGACTGATTATTTAGCCTTGGAACAAGAACGGTACAATCAGCGCTTACAATGGGAACAACAACATGGCTAATCAGCTCAATCCATTGGGTACTCGGTTCGATGAAATTGCCACCGCTCAGAACTCACTAATTCATCAATTTGGTGAGTTTCGTGTAGACTCAGAGAGACGTGCTGAACTGACAAGGAACCGCATTGATCTGATTGACCATCGAGTCACTCAGCTGTACCATCAGCATTTCCCTCCACCTCCAACACCACCTGACAAGGATGCTTAACTTGTTTAAAAATCAAGTAAAATGGTTTACAGATATGGTGGTTATATTTTTTTCCCCTTTTTTTTTGTTTTGGTTATTTATTTGGTGAGTTTTGTTGTGATTGTTTTACTTTTGTTATTTTGTTATAAACTTTTCTATTCACATAATGAATAACAACGAGGGGTGTTTTTTGGAATCATTTAATTACATAGTTATAATGTTATAACAATCTGTGCAAAAAGATTATGCATTGAAAAAATTATTTGTACAAAAATTAATAAATAGTAATTCATAAATGTCTACGAAATCCTTCATTCGAATAAAATGAATAAAAATTACACAATTATTAAATAATTTTTCTGCATCAATTATAATATAAAATTAAATTAATGTTTTGAAATTAAATAAAACAAGTTACAATTTAATAATATTTAATAATAAACATTCTTTTTTTAATGAAAAGGAAAAACAAAAAAGTTAATATAAACTTCTGTACAGAAAATTAAAAAGAATACCCCAGCGTTTACACAAATTATACACCCTTACTTGAAGATGTACCCAGCGAATTTTTACACATTCTTCATATAAAATAATATTTTGCTATAAAATCGGGTGATATAAAACAATAAAATATAATTTACTTTTTTATTTAATTTAATTTATTATTATTATTATTGTTATTATTATTATTATTTTTATTATTATTTTTTTTTATTTGTTACACTTTTAAATGGTGAACTTATCACCACCACCACCTACCACCACCAACCACCCACCTGCCAGCACAACCCACCAGCCACCACCACCCATCTGCCACCACACCAGCACATCACAGCACCCACGCACCCATTACACTCCACCACACTCCATTGCATAAGGGTCAGTAAATCACAGAAACAGACAAGGAAGGGCGAAGTTATGTAGTAACGGTGTCATAATGACTGAAATTAGTAAAATAATTACACATTTACAACTAGTAGTCAGTACGATATTCACTTGCCTTGTTCACATCCCTTTTCTATACATGGTGAACATGATTTTGCCACATAGCAGTAGCAATTGCATCCCTAACGTTCGATTGGGACGCTAACCCATGTTGTGACATGTCAACGTAGTTAGCTTGGTCTCCAACAAGCCCGTCTGCTTCTGCGGCCATTTCATAATCAACTTCCATAAAGAATGGATCCATAGCTGCATGCAAACGGATCCAATTGTGCACTACACAACATGCAATCACGAGAGGCCCTTGTCGTGTAGACTTGTAATTTGGCATGGACCGCAATATTGGGAAGCGCTTCTTCAAAACACCAAATGTTCTTTCTATGACATTGTGTAATGACGAATGTCGATGGTTAAACAATTCCTTAGGTCCTGCATAGCGATGGCCACGAAACTCTTGCAAGTGATACCGTTGAGACCGAAATGGGGCGAGAAATCCAGGCATGTTCGTGAAACCAGCATCAACTAAATAGTACTTGCCTACATGTAAATAATGAATACACAGTTCTGTCAATTGATATGTATAAAAACAGACAAGGAAAAAAGTGTACCGTATGTTATTCAGGGACAGTCACCATTGGGTGGGTGTGGGAACTGTAGATCAGCTCGTGTAATAGAGTCAACCAGAATAGCGTTGACGTGAGCGCTACCTTCCCATCCAGAATTAATAAATGTGAACAACATATCGAAGTCGCAAGCTGCGAGTACATTTTGTGATACCGTTGCTTTCCGACCGCGGAATGTATTTTGTCTTGAAGCAGGGACCCATGCATCCACCAATGTGCCATCGATAGCACCGACACAATCCTAATTGACAGATATTTGTTTGATATTAATAGCGAAACAAACTTTGATATTACTTTCATAATTAAAAAAAATAATATTTATTAACACTTATTGATATGAACAAACTTACAGGACAGTCATACTGTTCGTACCTTGAACCAAGGAAAAAACCTCCTGTCATTTAAAATTTTTCCCAGTATGTTCTCTAGGTTATGTGGTTTGATAACCGATGATGAAAGCTTGCACAATGCCCGCATAACAATTTTTATGTGCCGACAAATTGTTTTCGTAGAGTGTTGAAATCTATTTGCCATTATTCGATGGCGATCATTTTGTGCAAAAGTGTATAAAAAAACTCCAAGCGATTCCTCCACACTGATATGCATATGTTCAGTATCGATAAAGCCATTATGGAGTAAAGTGTCTTTCAATAAAATGAATGTTTGTGCATCCATTCGCATAACGTTCATCATTGTTTCTGGATGGCCATTTAATAGGCCGAAGATGTAATCATCACCTCTGAATAGACACGTTCGCTGCTGTCGGCGACTACTTGACGCATTGATATGGTCATGCATTAAAGCAATCATCAAAAAATCCATAAAATCATCAACAATCTCATCCTCCTCTGATGAGAGCTCCATTGTATTGTTTTCTCTATCAGATGACATATGTCTTTGTCTACATCACAGTAAAAGCATAATTATAAAATATCTTATTCATGCTGTAACAGTTAGCGTTATTGGTGAAACAGTAAAATTCAGAGGAGAACAAAATTTATTTAACACATGGTCATATTATAATAACAGAACATAGTTTTAATATAACAGAAAACACTTAAAAGTTTAAAAAAAAAAATATGAACATAGAAAAGGAAAGAGGATATGATGGAATGAAAAAAAATAATAAAAACCAAATCAAGAATAATGAAATCATCAAACAGTTCAGCCAAGAAGATTTGCTAACACAAGCAAAACAGAACTTCTCAGTTCACTGCAAAGCGAGGATCATGGCTAGGCGCAAATGGGTAGGAGTGCGCATAAAAAACCTTCGCCATTCTTTATCCTTGAACAATGTCAGTTCCCTAAGGTACTGCAACGGTGGTATGTCCCCAAGCTCAAGTAATGCATCTTGACATGCATCAAGGGAATAATCATCACCACTTGCACTTACAGCCTCAGTCTCATTTTCTCGTGCACGTGAATGTCCTATTTTGGCTTGTACATAGGATGTGAAAGCTGCGCATACGTCATCAAACTCACTTGACCGTGACTTTTTGGAACGACCACTGTCAGTCCGGCTGGTTGCAGGGCCCCTCTTGTGACTTTTGCCATTTACTGGATCCATATACTCATCCCGGAATAAGTCAACAGGAATGGCCTCAGCAGCATTACTCCCACCAACGTTACTCCCACCAACATCAGCTTTTCAAAATTTATTTAACATGTCATCTTCTTCTTCTGAGTAAATGGGTCCTTGTGTGGATGCACGAGACAGGGCCCCTGTGGCACAAGAATTTTCAACAATTTCTGCCATTTCTTGAAAATATTCAAACCCTTTTGTCCTAAACTTCTTCACATTTCTGTTAGCCTACAACAATTACAAAATAAGAATTAAGCACTGTATATATCATGAAATGTTTAAAATAAAATTAGAAAATAGTACAGATTAATGGAAAACCTTATCCCAAAATTCATCGGGTGCAACAACAGCGCCTATAATAAGATCCCATCCCAGACCAGCCTGTGCCTGCAGTCGCTTAAATGTCTGGTAATCAGCTTTCAATCGTTGATATTTTTGGCGCACCTTGACACCCGTATACCGAAATCCATATATGTTATGCAACTGATTTGCATAATGATTCCAATGCTTAATTGTCCACGAAGTAATACGGTCCGTTGTTTGATTGTTTCTAACCTCATCTCTCAACATATTTATTAATTTCGTTTTAATTGTGGGCGTCCACATTTGGTGTTCTTATTGTCATCGAAATTATTTCCATCCAACTATAAACATACAAATTATATTTAAACTAGTTTGGGATGGATATACAAGCATAACAAAGTATTTTAAAGTAGTCTGCAATGGATATACAAGAATAACAGCGCAAAATGATTTGAAGGAGAACACGGATAAAGGAAAAAGAATAGATGATTTTATTTCGAGGAAAAAAGTACGTAGCAGACTAATTGAATTTAAATAGCAGAAATATAACCACAAAAAAAAAAATTCAGATAGCAGAAATATAACCACAAATAATAAAAAAAAATCAGTTAACATTGTGTTTAAATAGTAGGAAACAAATTAGTAAAAGAAAAATTAAGGAAAAAAAATCAGTAAAAAAGCCCGGTAGGTTCAAACAGCTGAGGGGATAACCGATAGGTTAAAACCATTAAGGAAGAAATGGAAAAGCGGAAGACAAAACCGGAAGAGGTGGAAGGACCGGGTGGTTGACCGGCCGGATGACCCTGGGGACGACCGGCCGGGTGTCCCAGGCACTGTCGTTTCAGGTTCTGATCGATGAAAGGTTCAAACAGTTCATAATTTAAAATAACAACCGATCTAAAATGGAAAATACGCCTCTACAAATTCTCATAAACCATTTAGGAACTGATTTCAACTTCTCCGAAATCATTTATACATAACAGATGAAAATTGATTTACTGACTATTCTTGAAGAACAAAAAAGTTGAAACAATTCAGAATGAAGGATGAAGAATGAAATCATTTATCGACTCGTCTGAAATCATTTTCAGATAACAGATGAAGGATGAAGGATTTATTTACCAGATTAGTGGGAGTTGAATAATTATCGCCGGTGATGGAATGTGTATACTGATTGAATGTGCCACTGTTTGCTCGTTGGATTTGACAATAAATTTGATAAATTTGACTTGAAAAAAATTAAAAATAAATTAAGATGAATTTCTCAAATAATTTTCCTATAGCAAAATATGTAAATAAATTTGTGAGTAATTTCACCTCGCAGTCGTCGTTGTTTGGTTGCCTGTAATAAGAATCGTCCGTAACGCACAAATCGTAACTCAGTCGATTTGTGAAATATGATACCAGTACAGAGTAGGTTGGGTGGATTCATTATTTATAAAATGAGTCTGACTTCTGAAACCCAGCTGTGATGAATCTGAAGTACGGATGTTTGAAACAGAGAAGCCATTCGTGATGAATCTGAAGGACTGATGTAGATGAGGTTCACGTGAAAGTTACAGAGACGATGAAGAAGGCAGAAACGTTGAAAGGGAGATACAAGCTGCCAAACAGATTTTCAAAATGTAATTTGAATTAACACGCGGAATCAACTTTTGAACGTCGTATCCAAACGTCATGCACGAGCTCACATGTTGAAAATTGATTTGAATTAACAACCAAACAGAGCCTACGAGTTCAGATCCTTTCCTTGAGGATCCTCCTTCATTTCCTCCTTGTAACGGCTGATCAAATCCAACAGTTAAAAAAAAAAAATTAAAAATTAAAACAAATTCAATATTTGTATTCCCGCCCAAACTTATATACAGGTTATATAGCTTTTTGAATATCATTCTCACTTAGCCCCCTTTGGGCTCAGCTCCTTTCTCCTCCACCGAACCCACCCTCTTCGGCGACCCACCGCTGACGACGGCAAGAAGCTCCTGAAACCCAACCGGCGAACACCTTTCCTTGGTTCTCCTTACACGAGCAAGCTCTCTCTCTCTTTTTCTGTGTGCATTTGAACAAATTCAAATGCACACAGAAAGAGAGAGAGAGAGAGATTTGAAATTTCAAAATTAGGGCTTTGATTTGGGATTCGAACAGGTAAAAATTATATCAAACTGGTGGCTTTTTCTATGGTATCATGGTCTTATTTGGTATCGCTGTTGAAGACTTTTCTTCTCTCAAGACGAAAGTGAAGGATGATGTATTTGGTGGAAGTGTTTTTCAGAAAATTTCTTTAGACAGTTGTTTTCATGAAACTATTTTTAAAATGTTTTATCAGTTTTTGGAAACTCAGGATCACAAGAAAATCGATTCAATTTTGGTGGCAATTGTGTTTTCAAACTTTTTATTGTATCTTTCGTAACTCAAAAAATAAAAATTGAAAACGAAAAACATGATGCAAACACAATCCCTAAATTGTTGTTGCAACTGACAGTGAGGTAGGTACTTGAAATCCTATTTGTTTTTGTTAATAATTGACTTCTAGATTGATGTACATTGGTTTTGGTATGCGTATATGTCTCTACATAAGGATCTAGTTTATGTTGTAAAAAAACCAGCCATGGCTTAAGGTTAACTTGCTTCAGCAGATATAAAGGAAGAGTAACATGTTTTTCAAGGATTTAATTTTTGCTAATAGCATGTACAATGCAACCACTATCTGTAGGATTACAATGCCAAAACATGAGGCATTCATTGCCCATACCCAATTTTCTTTATTAGTTTCCTTACCTTGATGAACATTCATTTTGCTTCTATTAATGCCCTGCAATTAAAATCCACAGCTTGGGCTCCTCTAGTTATTCCTTGATTATTAATTTATATTGATTTAGTTTTAAGTTAAATTTGTTACAAAGCTTAGATATCATGTTATTTGTTTTTACATTAGTATGTTGAATTTGTATTTTGAACTTATGCTTATGAGAGACTTCCATTTTCAATATTAAACGTCATATTTTTTTGGGCAAATTACATATACACCCCTTGAGGTTTGGCTAAATTACAGATACCCCCCTGAGATTTCGGAAATTACATCCCGCCCCCTGAGGTTTGTATTTTCATAACAATTTACCCCCTGAGGTTTATATTTCATAACAAATTACCCCCTAATTTCTTATGCAAATATAGCATTCAGGGGAGAATTCGTAATTTCTCAAACCTCAGGGGGGTATTTGTAATTTAGCCAAACCTCGAGGGGTGTATATGTAATTTGCCCTATTTTTTTCCTTGACAAGTGGAAGTTATACAAAGTAAAGTAAAGATTTCCTTTCTCATTGGGTTGAATAAGTGGAACTATTGCAATTACTTCAAGTTCAAGTTCTTTACAACATTTCCTTCCTCATTGGGTTAAACAACTACTAGCCCTAATTTAAAAATGTTACGAATGTTATTATGGATTTTGTGAAACTGAACAGATGTATTGTTGGCGTTTGTAGCATTTTGCCTTTATATTTATGGAATAAATTTTAAATGGTGTTCATGAATTTTGGGTTGATTGAATAGATGGAATGTGTTTACCTGATTGTAGATGGTTTTCATGAATGTAGTGATGGAATGCTTCTATGAGTTTACATGATTTTAGATGGTAAATGATGGTTTTGAATTGTATGATATGCATGGTTAAGTGTATATTATGCTTCTATGAGTCTAGCAGCAGCATTTTTAGCAGATGGCAGCAGCAACATGAGTATGGTAACAGCAATATGGAATGCTTCTATGTGTATATTATGCTTCTATGATATGCATGGTTTTGATTTTAGATGGCAGCAGTATTTTGGGCAGATGGGCAACAACATATACACTGAATAGATGGGTATGGCAGGGTTAATATACTTTATGAAACAAGACTGTCAATATATTTGATGAGCTTATACCCCTCTGAAATTCATCTGATGGACTTGGTCAATACAAAACTTATCTCATTAATATAGACCCATCGTCCAAACAATCACATGATGCAAAGCTCCAACATACAAACTGTTTAAGTTAGTTATATCAAACTAGTTATATCAAAAAACTATTCAAAACCATATGTAAAAAACACATAAAAACAAGAGCAAAAACTATAGTAAGCAGTAGTTCCATAACACACTAATTTTAGGCCAATTTCAGCAACTTCTGCATAGCTTTAACTAGATTCCATACCAACCAACATAACAAAGAAGAACAAATATTATCCAACCTCATACATGTTCAAATATTAATCAACATAAAAAAGAAGAACAAATATTATCCAACCTCATACATGTTCACACAAAAACTAAGAACTTAAGCAACATAATAAAACAAGATAAAAAAAAATTTCAGCAGCAGCACTTAAGCAACAATAAAAAACTGTTTCAGCAGCAGCACTTAAGCAAAATATGGCCAGGGCCAGCAACACTTGTAGCAACACATGGACAGCAGCACTACATGGGCAGCAACACACATGAAATTTATCAGCAACACATGGACAACAATAGCAACAATGAAATTTATCAGCTGCTATGATCAAAATTTGTAGTGCGTTTCACCTAAAAAACAAGCAGGAAAAATAAATGTTTATGAATCAATTTAATTATTTTGGCACCAAGAACAAAGACACTATTTACTTGGATTAATATTATTGAATCAAACACTTGATTTAGATCATAGACAATCATATTCAATTGAACCAACCAAGCTTTGGTTAAGTTCATCAAACTGGTGCAACAAGTTGGCCTTTATTTTCATTTCAGGATTGGCCCCTATATTTGTGCTGAATGGAATTTTGGGTATTACTTACAATATTCATTTAATATTTGTTGCATTTTTTTTAAAATTAAACCCGAGTTGTTTTAAGAATTAATTGCCAAATGAATGTTGTTTTGAACTTATTACATCACTTAAAAAACAAAATAAAAAATTAGTGGGTTTGATTTTTTTTTAAAAAAAAAGAGAGAAGAAAACCTCTATTGTATGATGTATATGTATGGATGTATTTAGTAATCTGTTTTATTTTAAATGTACTTTTATATTTATCTCAGGATTGGCCCCTATATTTGTGCTGAATGGAATTTTGGGTATTACTTACAATATTCATTTAATATTTGTTGTATTTTTTTTAATTAAACCCGAGTTGTTTTAAGAATTAATTGCCAAATGAATGTTGTTTTGAACTTATTACATCACTTAAAAAACAAAATAAAAAATTAGTGGGTTTGATTTTTTTTTAAAAAAAAAGAGAGAAGAAAACCTCTATT